GTGTAACACAGATGCAGACGTACACCGCGTCGGCATGTTTCTGAAGGATAGCAATATAGTCGATGGTTTGCTGTACCTCTTCAGGTTCCTTTCGTAAATCTTCGAAGTACTTGACTTCGGTTGCATGGTATGCCTCATAGTCTGCGCCGGTGGTTCCGAGTGAAGCCTCCAGGACTGAGAGTTGGGCACCGTTGGCAACAATCTTGTCGAGCGACTGGCGGTAATTCTGATATATGAAGTTTCCTATTATAGATTATTAATTAGAAACTGCGGGTACATCGAGTGCGCAAGCTCACCTGATGCGGTGTGCTTATCCAAATCATGAAAATGGAAATGTTCATCGATTTGTTGCTGGCGGTGAAACACTGTCGATAGCCGCGTCGCGGCAGCGAGATTATTGGACCGCGCAAAGGTACGTTCACATTCTTCGAAATCCTCCAGTCCTACACCCTCAACGTACAGTGGATGCCAACCAATCTGGCAAGCACGGTTATGTGCATGCCCATGGAAGGCGGGAACAACACCCCGCATCCGCATGGCGGTCACCTTGGCTCCGAGGGAACTCCGCATCAGTGTCTTGAAGAACGCGCACATGATGTCGTAACCAAGGCCGATGGCGGCTCCATACTGGTCGAGTAACCATTTTACCATGGCGAGCGGGTACTTCATTCTGTGAATTGGGTAAGCGTGCGGTCTAGCGAGGATGATGATGTAAAAGTGATTACGATGCGGTATCTCGTACCGCCTCGTAAAAAAATGAAGAGAAATCGAGAACTTACAATTCGCCGCTGCGAATCATATCACACATGACGACAACATGGCCATGGCGGCAAACGGTAAGAAAGATCCCGGCGACAGCAAAGAACGCAAACATCTTCTTGCGTGCCTCGGGACCTGCCGCCTTCCACCGCTCGACACAGACATTGACGCACTTGGCGAGCTCTTCCGATTCCGCCCCACTGAGCTCATTGATGTTCAGCCAGGCGATGTCCCCGTCGTCATCATTTGCCGCACCGGTTGCGCCAGGATCTTGGCCATTGACATCGGCAGGCGGCGGAGAAGGGAGTGAGGTTCCTGCCGATGCCGTGGTAGCTGTGTCGGCAGTGGAGGTTGCAGCATGGTCGGGGAATAATGGCAAGATAGATGTTAGTGCCGTAGGTGAGGCCGGTTGAGCCGGTTGAGCAGGGGTGGACACTTTCTTCTTCAAACGCGCGCGCTAAAAAATAGTTAGAATGGAACTAAAAAAAACCAATAATAACATACCTTTTGAGAATCAGCGACCTCGTCCTTGAATAGATCGACTTGAGCTGGTGTCAGCCAGCGGAACGACGTTGAGGCACGATTATCCTGTCGGGTGTTGCCCGCCAGGAACGTTGCGTCAACCAATTTGAGTGAATTATTCCCATCCATGCAACCCAACCACGAGAACTTGAGCGGGAGCTCGTTGACTGTCTTGTACATGCATGGGGCACACACATTGCGGATGTACCAGGCCGCGTCTCGACCCATGGCTGCATGCACACGGGCGTCGGCATCGCGGATAATTTCGAGATAGGCATCATAAGCCGTGGATAGCTGTTCGGCCAGCGGAGCTCTACGTGGGACGTCATGAAGGTTGCTGAGGGTCGTACTGAGACTCCCGAGGGTGTAGCGGGGGCAGACGCGATGTATCTGCCTATATATCTCGAATAGACGGACAGGGAATGCCAGCGAAACCTTTTCAGGACTTGCCCCGATATAGCCGTGCCGGAGAAGGGTTTCGTTGGTGCGTCTGGCATCGCCCGTGTGCACAAAGGAATGGGGACCATATTCTAATGCAATGTCAGATTTGGAAAAGAAGATGAACATAAAACGCACCGTCAAGACCAATCACCTCAATCTCCCATGCTCCCACTACGTTGTTAGAGTTCACAGGTCCGTCCTTCCTTAGAAGAAGATACGCATCAACGAGACGCGGCAGCTGCTCCTTCCACGCGTTGATGGTATTCTGGACACGTAGGGCACGGCGGCGAGGGTCTCCGCGTCTGACACAACATGTGAGTATTGAGGTAAAGATAAAGAATATAAAAATGGCCGCACCCCGGCTGGCATTTATCGAGGATGGCGTGAAATGAAGCCTCCTTGCCCGCGTGGCTATGAAGATACCCTTCCTCGCCTGGTGGAAGAGCTTGGAACGTTGCCTCATCGTCACTGTCAGCGTCTTGCCAATCTGCGGGAAAGTAGTCGGGCGCGTCCGGCATTTCAATGTCTTGCTCGCCGTGGCCTAGGAGGGCTTCTCGCTGAGTGAAGCTGAGAGCTAGAAGACATGAAGAAAAAAGATAACATATATTTTACAGGTACACGCACCTGCGACGCGTTCCTGTCGTCTTTCGCGTGCTTTCTTCAGTTGTTCACCCGTTTGGTTCAAGGGGATACTCTTGGTGGGATTTGTCACCCCAGGACGGCCATAAGAGACCTTGTGTGAACCAGAGAGACCAGGCTTCTTCTGTCTAGTCATGGCAAAGGGGTGAAATATACGTGTGGTAGGACGACGAGAACGGCGGCGTTACGCGTATCAATTTGATGCGTCGCTTCACTGGACATCGGATTTGGCGGGGGTATAGGAGACGGTAAACTGTTGATTAGAGTATGTTAAGATACAGGGAGCCCCAGGTAATGAATAAATTGAGCTGGAAGGCCTCTTGGAGGCAAAGCACCGACACCAGGCCCCGGATGTAAACTTAAGGTGCACAAGGCCACGAGGAGCTGTAGCACGAAGCCACTAGTGCTGTGGCGCAAAGCCACTGAGTGCTGTAGCGCGAAGCCACAGGTAGATGTGAACGGAGGGCGGGTGGAGGAGGGAGGAGGGAGAAAGGGCGGGTGATCGATGACGTCAAGTCACGTCGGCGGGCGGTCTCGTAAACGGCCTAAAGCCCGACAAGGTCCGATAATGTCCGAACCCGGCGGGATTGATCCCCGAGGTCTTTGACGGGCCATCAATACCGCCGGCAGGGCCCGACTACCGTCCTGCTACGCTAAAGTCCTTTAGGAGAAGATTTCCGTAGGTATTAACGGCGGGTTGAGGTTTTGAGTGATTTTGATACCCACCGGACCCATCATCACGTACTGATCATGCGGTCTGATCTGTTGATATGTACGGGTAGGGTAGGTGAAATTTGTCAAAAGTCTGATGTATTTGAGAGAGGAAGACAATTGCATGCATTTTTTGTCACCGCTCGGTCGAGTTTTGTCACCGCTCGACCTCGACCGAGTGACACTCAACAGCAACGCCCCGCAAGAAAGTAGGGATGGAAGAAAGAAAGAAAATAAATTGGCTACGGCTCAGGCTACACAGAGGACTCAACTCGAGACCCACTTGAAGAACAAAAAACTCCCAGATTTTATCGTTCAAGAGCCCGCCCGGAATCGAACCGGGCTCTCCCACATGCAGAAATACCACTTTTCATGACAAGGATGGGCGGGTGCATACCATATGCCACAGGTCATATTCCATGACGGATGATCAGTGACTGGTTCACAAGTTTCCAATGAACTTGTACAGTTTTGATCTGCGAAGATTCATTTACAGTAAGTTGAGTTGGGGATTATTATAACAGCTTCCCTATCATACCCTGCCTCGAAATTCCCCGACCTGGCTTGGAAGATAGATAGATATATTTAATGAACGAATGAAGGGGGGAAAAGTGTGTGGCCTGTCAAGACCCCGCCCGGAATCGAACCGGGTTCTTCCACATATAGAAATGTCTACAACACGATGGAGCGCGGATGCATACCATATGCTACGGGGTCATATTGCCATAGGATGGGATATTTGAGAGAGGAGCACAATTTCTTGTGGCATATCCCCTGCCCACACGGGCGAGCAACACTCGTCGCCGGTGCCGCACAAGAAAATGGCTTTACCTCAGGCTGCACCAAGGACTTAACTCAAGACCCAGGCCTAAAAAAAAACACTGATCAGTTTCTTCGCGCTACGACCCCGCCTGGAATCGAACCGGCCTCTTCCGCATCCAGAAACATTTCCCGGCCCCAAAGAGCGCGGAGGCATACCATATGCTACAGAGTCTTATTGCCTGAACGGTCATTGGTTCACAGGTTTTCAATGAACTCAGATCTGATCCCGAAAGACCCCGCCCGGAAACAGAACCGGATTCTTCCGCATCCAGAACCATTCCTACCCAGCGCCTAAGGAGCGCGGATGCGTACCATATGCTACGGGGTCTTATTCCCTGAACGATAATTGCTGCATTGGTTTACAAGCTTTCAGTGAACCTGTACAGTTTGATCTGCGAAGATTATTTACGGTAAGTTGAGTTGGGGATTATTATAACAGGTTCCCTATCATACCCTGCCTCGAAATTCACCGGCCTGGAAGATAGATAAGTACGCCCAGGCCTGGAGAACAAAAAGTGCTCAGATTACAATGCGCGATGACCCCGCCCGAAATCGAACCGGGTTCTTCCGCATCCAGAAACACACTCGACAACCGTAAGGAGCGCGGGTGCATACCATATGCTACAGTGTCTGATTCCTACCGGATTGAATATTGAGCACATATGTAAGTGAATTCGTTCTCACTCCCCTCAGCCCCTGCCCACTCGGCTGAACCCGAACCCCGCCGGGCAAGGAAAAGAAAAATAAATTGGCTTTACCTCAGGCTGCGCTGAGAACTTAACTCGAGACCCACTGGGTTTGAAGAATAAAAAGGTCTCAGCCATCCGACTTAAGACCCCGCCCGGAATCGAACCGGGTTCTTCCGCTGGCGTGGATGCATCATTTTCAACTAAGAGTGGCAAATGCATACCATATGCTACGGGGTCATATTCCCTTAAGAATGATCAGTGGCTCCATTGGTTCACAAGTTTTCAATGGACCTGTACAGTTTGATCTGCGGAGGGTTAAATTATGCTATAAGCCTTCCTACCCTACCTCGAAGTTGCTTCAAAACCCAACCCTGCACATAGCCGAGTGAAAAAGAAAGGTACCACCACTACGATTAATGACCCCGCCCGGAATCGAACCAGGTTCTTCCGCATCGAGAAACACGATTTTCCGGCTCCCAAAGAGCGCGGATGCATACCATATGCTACGGAGTCTTATTCCTGCAGGATGGGATATTTAAGAGAAGAGCACAATTTCATGTGCAATCTATCATCTGCACTGCCCTGCCGACTTGGCCGAGCGAACACCGCGCAAGGAAAAGAGATTGGCTTTACCTCGGGCTGCACAGAGGAGTTACGATAACCCGAGACCGAAGGCTGAACGATAAAAAGCTTTTTTCAAGATCAGGCCGAATGACCCCCGCCCGTAATCGAACCAGGTTCTTCCGCTGAAGCTTTCCGCTCAATCTACCGGTGGCGAATGCATACCATATGCTACGGAGTCTTATTCCTACAGGATTGAGCATTTGATCATGCAAGTGAGAGGAACATAATTTCATGCACCATCTCGCAAGCAAACACTTGGCCAACAGTCAGCACTCAACGCCAATGCTGCACAAGAAAAAGAAAGGAAATTGTTTTTACCTTGGGCTGCACAGAGGACTTGTTTGACTCGAGACCCGGTGCTGAAGAATAAAAAGCTCGCACACTTCATCCTTAAAGACCCCGCCCGGAATCGAACCGGGTTCTTCCACATCCAAAACCGGATGGATGGAACGCAAGGAGCGCGGACGCATGCCATATGCTACGGGGTCTCTTTCCCTTCGCCTGATGAGTGACTGGTTCACAAGTTTTCAATAAACTTGAAGGATGATCGGTGCCTGCATTGGTTGACAAGTTTTCAATAAACCTATACAGGCTGATCTGTGGAGATCTAAATTTTACAGTAAGTTGAGTCGACAATCATTATAATGGTGTAAACTTTCCTACCCTACCCGACCTTGAAGTTCACCTGCCTGGAATATGTACGTGAGTGAAAAAGAAGTGTGGTCACCGTCTCAAGACCCCGCCCGGAATCGAAGCGAGTTCTTCGGCATCCAGAGGCATTGTCGCCGAGACCAAGGAGCGCGGACGCATAGCATGTGCTACGGGGTCTTATTGCCATAGGATGGGATATTAAGCATGCAAGTGAGAGGAACACAATTTCATTCGCTATCTATCGTCCTTGTTCCCTGCTCGCTCGGCCGGGCGGGTACGGTGCAAGAAATAAGTCAATAAATTGGGTCTACCTCAGGCTGCACCGAGGACTTAATTTGAGAGCCAGGCCTGAAGAATAGAAAGGGCCTAGAGGGGACTATCCAATGACTCCACCCGGAATCGAACCGGGTTCTTCCGCATCTAGAAATACCAAGGGACAAACCAAGGAGCGCGGATGCATACCATATGCTACGGGGTCTCGTTCCTGTAGGATAGGATATCTGGGAGAGCAGCACAATCCCATCACAATTCAACCGAGCGACACTCAACCCCAACACCAGCAGCGCGTAAAAAAGAAATCGGCTTTAACCCCCGGCTGCAGAGAGGACTCGGACTCATAATGGCTCGAGACCGAAGGCTGAACAATAAAAAGCTTTGTGAAGATAGGGCTGAATGACCCCGCCCGGAATCGAACCGGCTCTTCCGCATGCAGAAACAATTCCGACACACCTAAGGAGCACGGGTGCATACCATATGCTACAGATTCTTGTTTCTTTAGCATAGGATACCTGGGTTTCACGTGTTATTGTCACCACTCGGCCGAGCGATACTCAATGCCGACACCGCGCAAGACAAATAATTGAATAAATTAGCTTTACTCAGGCTGCACAGAGGACTTACCTCGAAACCCAGCATAAAAAGCTTTAAGAACTTGAGGGCGAATGACCCCGCCCGGAATCGAACCGGGTTCTTCCGCATCAAGCAAGCTAGCACTCGAAAACCCTCAAGGAGCGCGGACACATACCATATGCTACGGGGTCATATTCCTGTAGGATAGGATATGTAAGTGAATTAAAAGTGAGTTCGTCCTCCTGAGCGACACGCAAGGCCAACGTCAACATCACGCAAGGAAAAGAAAGCAATTTCCTTTACCTCAGGCTGCACCTGCGGACGCATACTATATGCTACGGGGTCCTGTCCTTGTAGGAAGTTTGGGCTCGCAAGTGAGAGGAACACAATTTACCTCAGGCTGCACAGAGACCCAGGCCTGAAGAACAAAAAGCTCGCAGCTTAATCCTTGAAGACCCCGCCCGGAATCGAACCGGGTTCTTCTGCTAATGCATTTCACGGTTCTTCTCGAAGGAGTGCGGGTGCATACCACATGCTACGGAGTCTTGTTCCTGCATGCAGGACGTACGTGTGAGCATACAAGTGGGTGGGTAACTCGAGACCCAGGCTCGAAGAACAAAAAGCTTTTAAGAATTTGAGGGCGAATGACCCCGCCCGGAATCGAACCGGGTTCTTCCGCATCAAGCAAGCTAGCACTCGAAAACCCTCAAGGAGCGCGGACACATACCATATGCTACGGGATCATATTCCTGTAGGATAGGATATGTAAGTGAATTAAAGTGAGTTCGTCCTCCTGAGCGACACGCAAGGCCAACGTCAACATCGCGCAAGGAAAAGAAAGCAATTTCCTTTACCTCAGGCTGCACCCGCGGACGCATAGGGGTCTTGTCCTTGGTAGGAAGTTTGGGCTCGCAAGTGAGAGGAACACAATTTACCTCAGCCTGAAGAACAAAAAGCTCGCAGACTTCATCCTTGAAGACCCCGCCCGGAATCGAACCGGGCTCTCCCGCATCCAGAAACAATCCTATCCACGCCCAAGGAGTGCGGGTGCATACCACATGCTACGGGGTCATATTCCTGCATGCAGGACGTACGTGTGAGCATACAAGTGGGTGGGATAAAATAATATTCCATACTGTACGACCCTGTATGGAAGCAACGGTCACGGTAACGGAAGCCCCGTTGCGTTGCTTATTTTTGGCGGGGTCACGGTCACGATGAGGCTTGAATTTATCGTGACACAGCAAGACAAAAAGTGAAAAAAATCCCTATGGCCTCGCAAGTACCTAAAATGAGTGGGAAACCAAGAATGTTAGTGCCCCAACAGCATTCAAGTGTACAAACTTGCATAACACTCAAATGATACCTACACAGATGCCCCTCAAATTTATTTTTTGTTGCTTCTTTGAGCAACCGTCACGCTCACGGTGGGGTGTGTTGCCTGAAAAAAAGGCAACGGGTGTGTCACGGTCCTCGAGCCGTTGCTTCCATACAGGGTCGTACAGTATGCTATCTATCGGCCGGGCCCTACGCCAACGCCAACATCGCGTCGGATAAAATTCAAAGCAAGTTAGGGTCGACGCGTACGATGCAAACTCAGGCTGCCTCAGATGCATGGCATATAGACCAATACCAAGCAGAAAAGAATCAGGAGTTCGAGTTTCAAGTAGTCTTGGACGCGAATAAGTACGCTGGGTATTCAGGTAAGTACTGTACGTACGCTATGGCCAGAAATCCCCGCGACCCTCGTCCTCGTTCGGAAATCGAAATCAAGATGCCACAGCGATCGTGAAGGAATTGCAGGAGTTTGACCCGCGCGAGCATGCATCAGGTCAGACGGAGTCCGAGTCCGAGTTTACCCGTAAACGCGTCGCGTCGCGTTCGTTTCGCGCGCGCACGTGTGCGTGTCAGTCTCGCGCCCAAACTGAGACTCAACTAAATTCCATCCTGATTCCTCGCATTCTTAATGCCTATGCAAAGAAGGCGACTCCCCTTATTCATTAATCACATTCACGCGTCGCACAAAATATGGGTATCCACAATCTCCTCTCTTCATCAACGTCAAAAACGACAAGTAACTAAAAGGTTCGTCTCGTCCCGAGTGGTATGTATCGTACTTTCTCGCGCCAGGTATTAAGTTTTTTTTCATCACACCCCAACGCGTCGCATCCAACTAAACGCGTAGCCCTAAACTCAAACAACAACCCCCGCAAGCACAGCAACAACCGCCGCCCCAACCAACCCCGCAAATCCATTCCCAAGCAACGCCGGGGCAGCCCCGCTAGGCTTGTTGGTGCTGGTGCCGTTGCCCCCGCTTCCAGTCGCGCTGGGGGAGGTGGAGTTGGTGCCGTTGGAGCCGGAGGGGGAGGAGCCGGATGGGGAGGCGCCAGAGCCGGAGCCGGAGGCGGAGATGTCTGCGGCGGTGTTGGAGGGGAGGAAGGGGGCGGTGACGGTTGCGGAGGCGGTGGGGGTTAGGGAGACTAGAGGGGGAGGGGTTAGTTAGGTGGCGTTAACGATGAAAGGAGCGAATCAATCAAGTATGGATAGATGATGAGTGAAGGAATGAAGGATCGAGAAGATGGAATGGAATGGGGCGTATAGGGATGGTATGAAAGGGCGAGAGGGGAGGTGAGGCAGAATGAGAAGGGAAGTGAATGGGAACGCCGAACGCGCAGACGAATCGCGCGCGAATTCGCGCACGCCCGGACAGAAAGGAGAAGGAAAGAAGGACGGGAAAGGGGGGGGGGAAACAACACGCACGGGGACCACAGTTAGCCGCATTCGCAGCGAGGGCGGCCTGGGCCTCGGCGGGCTTGCATTCGGCCTGGAGAGACGTGCCGGCCTGCGACTGGAAGTTGGCGTCGGTGCACACGCAGGCGGCCTTGGTGCTGCGTGCCGCGAAGCATCAGTACATTGCTGTGGAAATGAAGAGGAAGGGGAGGGAGGGAGGGACGCGCAAGGAGCCACAGGCAGAGGCGGCGGCGGCGGCCTGGATGCAGCCGAGGGCACAGGGGCTGAGGTCGGCGGCTCCAGGGGTGCCGGAGCCGGAGGTGGACGGGGCAGAGCCGGTGGTGGGGCCGGTGAGAGGTTCCGGTGGTGGACGGGAAGGCTGAGGCAGATGGCGGGTGAGATTTGAGGTTGTGAGAGAGTGAGCAAAGAAGTTCGCCAAGGTCTTGATCGCATCATTGAATCAGACGATCACCGCTCCTTCTCTTCCTCCCACTACTACAAAATCCATCACACTCGTCGGGAATCAACACACACTCGGATTCAACTATAGTTACAACCGTCCACGGCACACCGCCGCCCTCTGTGATATTCCAAAATCGTGAAGCAGCTTGGGGTTCGACTCCCCGCGTCTGCCTGGACGTGTCGTATGATGTGCGTTCTCTTAGTTCACGTTTGAAATATAGCGGCCTCCTCGAGATAGGGGACGTGGCCATCGCGACGTGCAGACTCGGATTCGAAGGCATTTTTTCCCGTAAGCCCTGGACCCACGAACCAAAAAAATCCAACCTGCGTATTCGGATTCAGATCAGCAGTGAACGTGGACGTCGTGCACGGCACACCTCTGCCCTCTGTGCGTGGTTTTCAAAGTGCAGGCAGTTGACGGGGTTCGACTCCCCGCATCCGCGTGAGAGACTGTTGAAGATGAACCTTTTTTCTTGTTGACCACAAACTTGAACTATCGAAGGCACGTACTGGAAACCACATGTAAGAACGGAACGCGGACGTAGTGCGGGGCACGACTGCCCTCTGTCGGATAAACCCGTCCAAAGAGTTAAAGCAGTCTTGGGGTTCGACTCCCCGCGTCCGCCTACATGCCATGACCGATATCAACTTTTTTTACAAAAGTTCCTGCTTGGCAGAAACATAGGGGCCTCACTCGGAGGGGATTGGGAACGCGGATGGCGCACGCCCTTGAGATTTAGAGAGAATGAGTATTTCCCGAATTCCCGTCGGTGGCGGCACTAGAATAAATTGTAGTCAACTTACCGAGAAGGCAATGAAACAAAGGAATGCAGACGTCGTGCGCGGCGCACGACTCCAGTCTGTAGATCGTGTATGGATGAGCAGTCTTGGGGTTCAACTTAGTGATGCTCAGGGCCCGTCTCCAAGCCCGAAGCCCGCCAGGCCAGGCCCGATGAAGCCCAAGCCCAGCCGGGCCCGACAGCGGGCTTCACTAGGCCTCGGGCTCAGGCCCGGGCCTGGGTATCACCTATAAAGGTGAGCTTGCTTCGGGTTCAGGGACAGAATTTCTTTGCTTGAAAGCCCACTTCCTACAAGCAATACAGCAAACACCTTTAGGGTCGAATCATGCGTCAGAACTGGGTGAGAAGACCAACGGAAACCCCAATTCGGAATGGCCGAAAAGGGAAACGTGGTTGAAAAGGCCTCAAAACGGTATGCAAATATGAAATGGAGTGCTAAATTGACATTAACGATCCCGTAGACTGAAAAATGGTAGGCCTCCACACCTCTTTGACTTTGCCTCGCAAGCCCGGGCTTCCAGGCCGAGCCGGGCCCGAAGCATCACTAGTTCAACTCCCCACGTTCGCGTAGCTTGAAAAAATCAAAAAACCCCTTTTTTTTTCGTTGGCCCGCACAAGAGCCCAATCGAAGGTACAGCACTCTGTGGGCGGCCTGAGAAAATATTGAAGCAGTTGATGGGTTCGACTCCCCGCGTTTGCGTGTCAATTCACAGCCCTTTTGATCCGGCTATGAAGCCAGAATCGAAGTCAACTCAACAGCTGCAACGTGGCCACCCTGCAGATTCGAAGGCATTCTTTCCGTCAGCCCTCAGGGTGGACAGACCCAAAAAAGCGAAAGATTAAACCCACGTACTGGAAGCCACATGTAAGAAAGGAATAGGGATGTGGTGCATGGCGCACCGCTACATTCGATAGGGGGAAACACTGAATGTTGAAGCAGTTACTGGGATAGGGTTCGACTCCCCGTGTCCGCCTTTGTGGCAGCTTTCGTGCGTAGGGTTTTTTTATCCCTCTACAAGCAGAAGAGGAATATTAATGAAGCACTGACTCCGGCACATTAGAAAGGGCGGCGCGGTTAAAAGACATGAGTGATTGAATGGAAGCTAAAATACATTATTATACTCAATCAAAAAGGTGAAACATTGAACCCACGTATTCGGGATCAACCCAGTTGCTGGAACGCGGACGTCGTGCAGGGCGTACCACTGCACTCTGCGGGCGGCCTGAACAAAGAGTTGAAGCAGTCTTGGGGTTCCACTCCACGCGTCCGCCTCATCTCATAATCCATTCTATTTTCTTTTTCTTTCTAATTCCTCCGTGGCAAAAACCCAGGAGCAGTTGTTCAGCACCGACCACTGACGTCGTGCACTCAGAGCATCATTTCTCGTCGATGCTCATGCAACACTAAAAACGGAGTCAGCAGAAAAGAGAAGAATTGAACCCGCTTACTGGGAGCTACATGTTAGAAAGGAATGCGGACGTAGTGTACGGCACATCACTGCACTGTGTGGTCGAAAATCCAGAGGATTGAAGCAGTCGATGGGGTTCGACTCCCCGCGTCCGCCTCTTAGGTTTCTGTGTGTCTATTTTTTTCCGTTGGCCCTGAATCAACCCCAATAAGGCGAAATGCAACCCACTCACCAGGAGTCAAATAGGTGATTAGAACGCGGACGTCGTGCTGAGTGCACCACTGCCCGCTGTGAACGAAGTTGAGGGTATTGTAACTTGACGTTCGACTCCCTGCGTTCGCG